TGGCTGCTTTTCGACTTGTGTTGATGTCCTCTCTTTGCAAGTTGTGTATCTGACTTGCTCAGTCCTGGATCTTTCTCCCCTTACCACAAAAAAGTGAACCCCTTAGGATTTTTCTCACTCATCATCTTTAATAATGTAATTTTGTCTGCAAAGGCAGATAGCAATTCAAAGATTATCAGAAGGAACAAAGAAGAGGTGTGGTGTGTTTAATAGTTTTTATTGTTGTTTTCTATCTTTCTCTACCTTCAGTGACATTGCCTTTCTTTCTCTTTCTTTCCTGAATCAAATTTAGCAGTGAATATTTGGATGAAACACCAAAACCTCCAGTTGCAGAGTTCATGGCATCATTAAGCCTCAACTTAGGGGGATTATTACTAGCAGGTGATTTTCATTTGCTGCAGCAGTCAGCAAAGGTGAAAATGATATCAATATACTTGCAATCTTGTGTTGCTGCCTCAGTTATTTAATGTGTGTAGAAGGAATAAACTGTGGAACAGACTCTTACAGTGTTGAAGGACAAAGATTAAGCAAAAGAAATGCCTGAGAATTTTAAGTATAAGATGTTTGTATCTAAATGTTTAACATTTAAATTTAACAATTAAGTGATGCTTGAAGGAGTTACGTGCCAATTTGTGACAGGAACATTAGGTTCATCTGAGCTAAGTGTTGGAGCTTAGCAGTGATTCAAAGACATCTTTGTGCAGTATTGCTAAGCAACCCCATCCTCAACTTTGTGGCTTGTTAATATCACTTAGCCCCATTTCAGAAGTAAGCTGCAAAAATGAAACTCCCGATTTAAGGAAGAGAATCAAGGAAGCACAAATGTTACTTTTGTAGTCAGTTGTCTGCTTTTAAAGGGGGGTTACAAGTGGCAGCTGGTGGGATGGATTGGAATAGCCTTTTGCAGTCAGCAAGTTTTCTACCTCAGGGTTCAGTGCTTGAAGCTTTTGTGATGATCAGATTCTGATAAGAAAAGAAAAGATTTATTTTACTTACTAAGTGGAGAAACTAAGCATGGTCTTTCTGCTGGCATGGGAGCCCAGTCTCTGAGCACAGGGGAATCTCCTCGGTGACAGCTCCGCTCAGGGCAGCATCAGCCTTCCCTCCTGCAGTTCATGTGCACCTCCATCCCTGCACTTGGCTTCTCCTGAGCTTCCTCCTGTACCACTTGTGAGGTCTGATGAAGAGACTGAATCTCAGACTAACTTAGAGTCAGACGGGGCCTTTGGGCTTTGTGCCAGACACAGAGCTAATGGGGAGCTTATCACAGGAGGTGAGGTTCTGGCTTTTGGAAAATCTCAGTCCACAGAGACAGAAGTGAGGGTGTGAGACTGCATAGAAGAGTGGAGCCAGGACATGCAACACAAGAGAAATGCATAACACAGTAGGAAAGGAGATAAGAGGGATCTGAGGGTGAAGAGCGCACACATGGTGTCACTTGCTACACACAAGTAACACTACACTGAATTTCAGTTCAGTTTAAATCAGTATTCATGCTGATTCAGATTGCATCAGTGACAGACACCAGGTGGATCCACAGCATGGAAGAGTGCCTGAAAAGATGGGATACCCTTTGTTTGGTCCATAAGAGGCGTGTTACATTAGCAAGGTCAGAAAGGGTAAGCTCCATTTACTATGGTTATGCTTGTCTTTACAACAGGGCAACTCAGCTTAACGTTTTTCTTAAATTGACAGCTGACTTAGTTTGAATTGGAGGTATAAAATGAAACAAGAGAACCCACACTCCTTTGAGCACCAATGAAGCAACACTGCTTTAAAAATTTACCTTTAAATAAATCATGCTGACCTTCTTATCTACAAAAAATCAATCACTCAGATAATCTTTCTTCCCCTACTCCTGGCATGATCCTTCTTATGGAACACACAGCAGGCAAAGGGTTAAGGAGAGAGGAGCAGTAGTAACCAGCAAATTCCGGGTTAACTCTTTGGGCTGGGTAAGTCCAAAAAGGAACAATACATCACTGTATACAGGCATCCAGGGTACTATACTGGAAACCGAACCACAGTTATATCAGGGATTAATTTAATTCTCAGGTTATCGTATTTTATTTCAGAAGGAAAACAAGGGGGAGAGAAAAATGATGTGAACATTTTCCTCTTAATATTGTGAGACAACTATAGTAACCATGGCAACAGGGGGAGCAATGTCTCAGAGATTGTATATCTGGTAAACATAGGCTCTAGACTTCCATTTATTATATTATTAAATAGCATGTTTGCTCTGAGTCCTAGCACAATATATTATTAGGTTGTTATCACTGAGGGCCAAATCTACTGGTTGAGCATTCAGGAGAGTTACTGGTCCTAAATACAGAAATAATAGCCAGTGGTCCAAAGCCTCCTTGTGGGAAAACAAACATAGCAGCTTCTACAAATATTCCTGTCTCCCTGGGAGGTTTGGTCGGTGAGGTCTGCTCTCCCTCTAGTGTCCTGACAACTGGGGTTGCTGCCAGAGCTGCTCCTCCAGCTCCAGCAAGAAAGGTGAAGGGCCCTTCACAGGCAAGATTTAGGTTTAGTCCTTGTCTACATGTAGCGGGTTTTGTTTGAGCTTTTCTCCCAGGCACTTGTAAGAGCCAGTGCCTAACTTCTGAGCTGGAAGACCATTTTGATCCCTGCTACTCATCTGTGCATGGACAGAAGCCCCTGCCCCCTCCCTGCCTGCTGCCCAGATGTGAAGCAAACCATTAGCAGAAAAAACAAGAGAGTTCACACTTCTGTGAAGTATTGGCTCCAGCTGTTATAACACAGTGCTCTACATATTTTCTCGGTATAAATGCTGAAAAATATATTTTAGTATTTTACTACTTCATCCCTGGTTGTATTACCAAAGATAAAACCAGAAAAGTGGTAAATCTGATGCCTTGTGTAGAATGAATGTGCAATTGGGCAGTTCAGGGGCAGGAGGTTGAATCCTGGTAACTACTGCTCAGCGCTGAAAGTACTTGAGTAGATGAAAGGAAACCTTTTCCTGTATGGCCCCACTGTATGTATTTTCCTAAGGAACACGTAAGTCAATGCCACCTCCATCCTACTTGACTTCATGTGAGTGGACAGTCTCACCAGACAGCAGTGTCTGAATTTCTGTCTGCTTGATGGAAGCCTCCTACGATTAATGCCAGTGCCATTCATCAACAGGAGTGACCGATGCAGGTTCATCTGGCTCAGTCCCTGATGCAGAGCCAGAAGCAGCCATACCCTTCCTTCATCTCACCCTGCCTTTTCACAGAGGTGTATGTGACCACCTCAGAAGCAATGCTGAGCTGAGCTGGACTGACAGAAGCCAGAACTCCAGCCGATCGGGCATTAGTTCGGTCCAGGTCCCTGTCCTCCTTGCCCCTATGATAACCCCTGCTCTGTGACCTCTATCAAACATTGGCATCATCTGCTTAAAGACCAGCAGTGAAGCCTTGCTCTTCCACTGGATTCTCAGTACTACAGCACCAAATACTATTATCAGTGCAGTAAGTTACTTGAATGTAAACCCTCTCAAGAACTGAAGGCCTGGTAATTTCATTTCTGCTCTAATAAGCTTTGTTCAGAAGTTTTTATTCAATTTCAGAATACTTTTCAAGCTAGAGGCTACATTCCACACTAATCTCCTAAGCAGACCTGTCAGGTTTCATGGGGGGGGTCAAGAAGGGAATGAAGAAGAAATTCAAGCAACATGCAGTCTGCCTGAAAATCCAACTTGAACAGTTCCCGAATAGAGTCTTTGTCCAAGTTTATATCCCTTCAGCCATTGGGTGCAATCAACAGATTTCAAAGACAGCTTTTCCTGGAAGAGCCACGAATGGCATGTTGTTCTGCCTTCACTTTGCCTTTGCTTTTCACAGCAAGTCTGTTTTATTGTTGGCTAGCAACTGAAGGAAACCTAAAAAGCTCTTGCACTGCTCCTGGAAGTATGCTCTGTTTTGAAAGCAGAACCTTGAAGCTTAGCAAAAGTTCATCAAATGCAGTTTCTTGAGTGCAATAGTAAAATATTCATACATTACTGTTTTTAAAGGGGGAAGAAAACACTAAGACTTTTGCATGCTTATCTAATAATCAAATTTACTGTAACTTGGCCTGCTACCCTTGTCTTAATAATTTTGAGAAGTAACTTTTTGGAAATCAGACAATCTAACCTGAGGATCAGGTAGTCAGCATTTAGGCTTGGAATATGCTTCTCATTTTAAAAAACAGATTTTCAGGGGAGCCTGACTGGGTACAAAGCGGAAGCATACTTTTTTCCCTCTCTTTTTTTTGTTATTTTCTTTAAGGACACACATTTTTTTATCTTTGGAAACCCATTGAGAAAAAGTAAATCTGGGGCACAAATAACAGTAGGATGCAAAAAATCTCTGGATAGCCATTCTAGAGAGCGGGGCTGTCAGCATTGTACAGCACTACAGCAGCAAGGTTTACTAGAAGGTTCCATTTGATGTTTTGTTCCTCCATTTCCTATTAAAATTCAAACCTCTTGCTGAACAAATTTCCCCAGAGGCAAGATCCTCTGAAGGTTTCTTGCCCCTCCAATGAAATGCCTGCCTGTCTCAGAGCTGAGGCTCTGCCTGTGTTTCAAAGCAGCCAACAAAGAGACTACCTTGGACTTCAGGACATGCCAGCCTGGGCTCCCACTGGCTGCCTCACAAGCTGCAGCTGTCTGGTGTGTATAAGTCAGGGTCTCTTACTATCAACGGGCAGGGGAAGGATTCAGCAGGGAATGAGAAGGAAGTCGTTTATCTATCAGAGCCTGATATTTCAGAGTTTGCTGGGCAGTTTTCAAGAAAGGGAGAGCACAGCTTTGGCAAATTTGAATGGCCCAGATTAGCTGCTAATTGGCATTTAGCAATTTGGAATGGACCAAACTTGATGATACACATGGGAAGGAGCCATGGCAGGCACCCAAGGCACAGAAGTGAGGCTGTTCCTGCAAAACCCAGTCTTCCCTCACTGGAAATGCATCTAAGTGAGAGACATAGCTGGCCACGTGAAAAGTAGGGCGTTGAAGGAAAAGTCTCCTATCTACCCTCTCAGGCTTTTTCATTACTGAATAATGGAGGAAGGGAAGAAACTTTCTGCCTTTCTGCTTACCCCTGTACGAATTCACAGGAACACAGCTGCCAAAAGTGCAGGCAAAGAACCCTGGCTGAGCTGTCATCAAAAGGAGTGTGAGTATGCTTCTGTATGATTTACATTTTGTGGCTTTTTTGGTATTTGTTTCTCTCATTTTCCAATTCTCTCCACTAGATTTAAAATTTGTTAGTGACCTCATGAAAGGTTAAAGTAGCAGGGAAATCTGACAATAATTTTTGCTCTCTATGGCTTTTCTGTACCAATCCTTCTCCCTCCCTCTTTCGTTCTCTTCCCTGCCTAGAAACAAAGGGATTTTTCTCCTTCCTTGGATTTTTCCCAAGTCTTTCTCATTCCCATCTGATTCTAAATTGGGACCACACCAAGATGCTTTACACGGTGAGCATTGACTCAGCATTCAATAGCAAACATGTCCTGATTTTTCTCCCCTTGATTAATTTTGTTAGAGAGGTGATGAACTCCACCTCTGACCTCCCCTCCCTGCCTGTCAGTCAGCTTTCACTGATGCAGGCAGCTTTTAAGCAACTCTAGTAACTCAATCATCCCTGCAGAGACTTTTTGTGGCTGGGAATAGAACATCTTCTGTCCACAATGGGGAAGTCAGATTAATGACTCTGAGTGGCCCCAGTGATTTCAATATTCATGTTGTGGGTAGATGTGCTAATACTGATATAAAGACCTACAGTATCACACTGCAACATTGCTAATTAACTTCACCTATGGTCCTTGAAGCCTACACTGAGTAAGCTCGATCATGTGTGATGAGTAAAATTCCTTGGCTGTTTTTTTTTCCTCTCCATTTCACTCCATATCACTGTACTGTTCCAGTGTCCACAGCAATGCTTTTGAATACTGCTGTGGTTTTGCAGTCTAGTTTCTGGAAGCATCACGCTGTCTGCCTGTTTGAGACCTGGCCCTCCTTTTTTGACATCAGGCTTCACCGCCATCCCTCAGCCATGCCTCAAAGTTCAAGCTTTTAGTGCTCCAAGGACAACTCTCATGAATACATAATCTCTCAAGGTGCACTGCGTACCACCCTGCAGGTCAGATCAGAGGGCCTTGCGGAGAGCGAGCTGTGTGGAAATACAGGTCAGGTGGCAGGCAGAGCACACTTCGGAAACCAGGCAAGTCCCCGCAAAGTAAAACACAGGTAAATGTCATGAAGCCATGGGGACTGGGGCTGTCTATGAAGCAGTCACATACAAAGCTCTGAGATGGTGTTGGTACAGACTTATATTTCCTCTCCTAGTGCTTAAGAAAACCCATTGAAGACCACCGTTCTGAGGCACTGAGGGCCAGAGGAACACGAGTGGACATGACTTCAAGAAGCCCCATGTAAGTTCAGGTAGGATTTTTTTCTCATGTATTCTGGGAGTAACAGGCCCTCCCCACATACCCTTCCCATCTATTCCTATCCAGATCTCTGTCTGTCATGGTCAGCGTGGGCGGAGCTGAGCATTTCTCTAGCTTTAGCAATTTTGCTGCCAAGGCTGCAAACCCTCCAGGCACCAATAAATGAATAGAGCTCCACTCCCATCTTTTCTAATCCATGTCCTTCTTACTCAGTCACCTGCCAGTATTTTTTTTCTACCTTTCCTCTAGCTCCCTGTTGATAATTCTGTAATGTTTTTCTCAGCAGATTAACTCTTTACTATGTGAACACCAGAATTAATTCATTCCTGTGTCTAGTGGCAGCACCTGGAAGCCCTCAATGGGCCTAGAAACCCATCTGTTAAGCACTGTACAAATACGGACTAAGAGAAGCAGGGTTCGTTCAAAGAGCTGGCAAAGAACTTAACTCTGTCCAGAGCTTGATACAAGAAGTGTGGACTTTAAAAAGGCTACCAGCCAAAGTTTTGGCTTTACTTATAATTTTTAGAAGTCCTAGGATTTAAAGGACAGGAATAAACAGAATTGTGGAGACATTTACACTCCCCCCCCCCCTTCTATTAATAGCAGAGGGTGTTTATATAGAGAAACCGAAAAAGCCCTAGATAGGACTCTGCTGTGGGAGCTGACAGTCATACAATTTATTTGATCAGAGAATCTATTTACCAAAAGGGACCGCTATTAAAGATTATGACAGTGTTTGGAAAAGCAGACCTTGATGTGCAAGGTTAGCTCCGCAAACCCTTACCCCTGAGAGGAGGCTTGCTGGCAATGACAGGTTCTCAGGTCTAGACGAGTGGAGCTAAAGAAAATCTCAGCCCCTGGTGCGTTCTGACAACCTGTCTGTCAGCAGGACACCTCCTGCACCCTCACAGCTGCCGCCCTGCACATCACTTCAACTACTGAAGTCTTGCCTGAGCAAGCCATGTAACCCAGTCTTCCTAATCATTTGCTGTTTAACAAAGTTAACAAGTGAGATGCACTGAGGCCACCTGGCCCCCGCTATATGCTGCCTGGATCATGGCCAGTTTGGTCACACCTCCAAGCAGAGCTGACAGCATCTGGATTCAAAGTGAATTGCAAGGCAGCTCCTCACTTGAGCAGACTGTGGCTCATGAGGAAGACTGATTTCCAATGGGCTGACTGGTTGACTAAGCTTGGGCAGAGCAGATTTGGACACAGAGAGCATAGGGGCCAGTATTATTTTTAGTTCAACTAGACACCTAAGCTCCAGGTTATACAACATTGCCTTTTCTTCCTATCTGTCTTGGCTGCTTGAAATCACTGGCAGGTATTTCAGTTCATGAGTCCTTAGCTTTGTGCAAACATATTCTAATAAAGAATAGCTCAGTAAAATAAACTGCTTGCATGGGATACAATGTCACTGAGTAATTGCCCTCACTTCGCTCTGAGACATGCAAAGAGCAGCTTTCTTTCCATTCCTGGTGGAGAAATACACAGTTCGGCATGCCCTTTGGAGTCCCCTAAGGCTAGCTGGAGCCTTGGGAAGGAAGCAGCACTGGCCTCATTCGATTTTGTGCTGAAGGGAAATGGGGACAAACTCCGTACGCTTTATCCCAGAGGTATTTTGCCTTTGTCTTCCTGGTTGCTGTGGAGATCTGAAAGCGAAACAAATCTTTGTTTCGCATCCCCCCGAGCTCCTCCACTCTCCTCTCCCAGCCGTTCTGCATGAAAGCTGGGCAGGCGCTGAGCCAGAGCGTTGCAGCGCTAGGGGTTGCACTGACTGCCCGGAGCACCGCGCTCAAATATTCAGCAGCACGTTCGAGAGCGACTGGGCGTGGGTGCGCTGGGGAAGGTGAGAGCTGGCATAATGTGGATGCCTATCAGAGAAATAATGAGGGCATGGGGATCAGTGAGGAATGTCACTCCTGCGAGAACCTGATTCAGCTGAATCCATGTTGGTGAAAGGAGATAAAAGGGGAGGGAGGGGAAATAAAAGCTAAGGCAGCTTTATAGGCCTGCGTACTTGCACATACACAAATCAAGCAAGGGATTTACTCATGATGCAAACTGCGAAGGGGGCACAGCATACCCGATCCAGGTAGTGCAGAAAGGAGGAGCTGAGGGGCTGTATGTGGGAAATGGGGAAGGATCTGGGTCTGTGAAGAAATGCATCAATGCAAAACTGGAGAAAGTGAGAAAGGAGCAAAGATAGTTGAGTGGAAAGCAGGTCAAATTACCAAGCACAGAGAAGACTCCAGCAACCCGCAGATGTCCCGGGGGAAAGTCAAAGGCCCCTTGACATGCCATTTTCTTTAGAAGAATAATCTTCCAAAAATCATCTCTAAAAACCCACCCAAAACCGTTACTACTCTGCCAACAGCTTAACACTGCCCCTTGCCTCATCTGTGCTGCATTAAAATGGATGATCTCTTAACAACAGGTTAAAAGAGGAAAAAAAGGCATTACATCCAGAACAAGATAACCTGGCTAGATGGTAAGGCAATCAATTAACAGATAAAAGTGACAGTTCATTGCAGCAAGTAGGTGCACTGAGCACTAACTGGAAGGAACTGAGTAATACAGTGTTCATTTAGGCTGAAGCCAGGGTACACAGGGAAGCCGCAGTTCGGGATTCAAGTACTCCTGCACTGCACCTGCAGCACAACAGCAGCACAAACTCCCGAAGATCCCTGAAATGTTAGTGCAAGTTGTCTTCTATGGGGAAGAAGAAAAAAAAAAAAGGTTTTCTCCTGAAAGAAAATTAATTCTAGGGAAACATGGACTCTGATTAAGAAACTATTCCTCTGCAGTGAGGTTGAGATAAAAATTTTAGGTTTAAATCACTCTTTTGAAACTTGCTGACAAACATCCCTTTGTTTTGGCTCAAGTTGATACATTTGTTGTATTTGTTCTTCCACTTCAAAACAAACATCCTTATGTAAACAGAGCCAAAGCGCCTTTCAGTTCAGACTTTCTCCTGCACCATTCCTGCCTGTCCATTCCTGATCAACTCAAACTTTTTCAGGAAACATTTTTTAATTAGGATTTAGGATTAGTGACTAAGAGTTGTAACCAGGATTTGTAGCATCTCTGCCTCTATCTCCAGGCTGGAGTGGTGTCTGCAGGCAGGCTATTAGGCAGTGGTGTCAAAAAGGGCTGAATATTCAATAAGCAATCCCAGTTGCTATCTCTCTAACCGGCTAATAGACAGGTACAAATGAGGCAGGTTGCTTTGAAGCAAGGCACCAAAAAAGACTCAGGAGCTTCAAAGGAAAAAAAAGTCCTTGTCACCCTGAGCTATGACTTGGGAACCTTTTGCCAAGAAGCTAAACCACAAACACCTGCAAACCTGGAAATGGCAGTAGAGGAGTCAGTTCACAACCTGTGGGGACAGAGCTGTTTTATGGGTGCTTAGTTATCAGTACTCCTCCCTCCACTTCTATACAGACAGGGAGTAGCACTGTAACAGCTTGCCTGTCCTGTATCATGCAGCCAGCAGGCTACTGCTAAAAACATTTATAGTTTGATGTCTTCAAATCTTGCTCAAGCAAAGGTAGTACTATTAAAGGCACAAGTGACAAGTTTTTCCCCCAGAATTAAAGCAATGTATCTGTGGGAATGAAAGGAAAGATTCTTCTGCACCAGCCCAGAGATCTGAGCTACTGATCATAGAATTGTCTAGGTTGGAAGAGACCCTTGGGATCATCAAGTCCAACCATCTACCCTACTCTACAAAGTCCTCCCCTACACCATGTCCCTCAGTACCGCATCTAAACGTCCCTTAAACACATCCAGGGATGGTGACTCAACCACCTCCCTGGGCAGCCTGTTCCAATGCCCGACCACTCTTTCTGTGAAAAATTCCTTCCTAATGTTCAGTCTAAACCTACCCTGTTGGAGCTTGAAGCCGTTCCCTCTCGTTCTGTCACTAATTACCTGTGAGAAGAGACCAGCACCAACCTCTCTACAGTGTCCTTTCAAGTAGTTGTAGAGAGTGATGAGGTCTCCCCTCAGCCTCCTCTTCCTCATACTAAACAGCCCCAGCTCCTTCAGCCGCTCTTCATATGATTTGTTTTCCAGGCCCTTCACTAGTTTCGTTGCCCTCCTCTGCACTTGCTCCAGCACCTTGATATCTCTCTTGTATTGAGGTGCCCAGAACTGGACACAATACTCGAGGTGTGCCCTCACCAGTGCCCAGTACAGGGGCACAATCGCCTCCCTACTTCTGCTGGTCACGGTATTTCTAATACAAACCAGAATGCCGTTGGCTTTCTTGGCCACCTGGGCACACTGATCTCTCCTATCCACTGAGGAAACAACAAGCTCTCCCTACAGAAAGTTTGCCTGCCAACAAAACATCACTGGAGAACGAAAGAAATCACTTCAGAAACTTACACTTATCCTGAGATGTTCCCTATCAGGTTTTATGAACGTGGCTATGGACATGAGGAGTGATGGGGAAGCATTGATTTGGGACAAACTTGTCTCGTCCTTACATGTCTGCATGCAGAGTGCCTGAGGACCTCAGCAACAAAGTCCTGCAAGTTTTTGTGCTATGGAAGCTGACTGTCATAGATGGAAAGGCTGTTGAATCTCCTCAGTAGTATTCTCTTTTGATGGTTCTGTACGCAAAGGTATTTCCTAGGCAATGGGACACACAAAAAAAGAGCAGCCCTCAGAGACCTACTCTGGAGGGAACAGAGACCACTTTTCAAAGCTCCTAAGCACTTGAATTAGCGATGTTCAGCTGAAATACATGTGAAATTCTGCACATAATGAACTATATTTTTGATCTTTTTGTCTATCATACTGGATTTGATATATATATATTTATGATGTATCTACATACATATATACACATGCTCACTCATGCCATACTTCACTGTGATAATTTAATTAGAAAGGGCTTGCATATGAATGGCTTCCTGAATTTCCCATTGGAAATGAGTGTCAGAGGTGGGCTAGAGCCCACTAACTGCAGGGCATGTCAGT